CCAGATGTGTGTGTTATGATGGTTCGTAATGTTATTTCTGTTAAAGTAGTTTAGTACAGCTACTTTAACAGAAATTAGCAGCTACTTTAACAGTAGCTTTGAGAATTTCTGTTAAAATTCTCAAAATTGACATTTTGAGAATTTTCCATTAAAAACCAATCGTAAAATCCTATTCTTTTGCCTTGCAGCTGATGTACTGTTTCATTGGCATTTACCTGTAATTGCCTTGACCGTCGTTAAGCCAGTTTCATCCACATTAAATACTTGGTATGGACAACATTTATATTTATCATACAGACGCTCCAGATGATCAAAAAAATTGATAAATCACATGTTTGTTAAAACCCATTGTTCGCGCAAGTGATGTGGCTTCTGGTGTTCTTAGAGAAATGTCCTTATTCCTTTTCGTGAAAAGTATAAACCAAACTTTTCCAGCAGTTTTGTTAAATACCCAAGATTCTGGAACATGTTTCTGTTGCAATTGCAAACTCATAGGTCAAACTACGTAATGCACTAAACATATTTTTAGATATTCTACTAATTTCGCTTCTTGCTTCTTATAATGTAATTCGGTTTCATTCTAATGTCTATTTTATTTACAGTTCTCACATTTTTAACATGTTTTTCAACTTATCTATGTACTTATATCTTTAATGTTGCTCTGGGAATGCCATAAGTTGTAGCAGCACGTTTTATTGAGTAGCCTCCATTCAAATAACGCTTAACTGCTTGAAACACCCTATAGGACGAAGTCTGGCCAGTATTAGTCATGAATGGGTAGTGGGGTACAGTGGACACTGATGACATTTTATTTGTGAGCAGTGTCCACTGTACACTATAATATGTCTAATGCATAGACATTTATAATAGCTGATAGATTGACTGCTGCAAACTAAATTTTTAACTTTTAGATTCCTGAAGAACGCGTACCCTGGGAACTCAATAAAAAGCCGTCACAGAAAACTCGTAGCAAATCCGTACCAGTAAGAAAACCTGAACCCATACTACCATCGATTCCAGAAAAGCAACTATCGTCGAGTAAACCATCCTCCAGCAAATCGACAACCAGAATAAATCAAGTATCTTCTCCAAAAAAGTCCAAAAATAGTCGAGATAGAAAGTTTAGTGCCAAGGAACCGCACAGTATTATATTTAATAGGGGTTGTTTAAAACTGTCTGTTAATTTTCCATCAGATACTACTGTCAAATTTCAAGAACGAAACATTGAAAAATTTTTAATTCGTAGTGTGTGTCACTGTAAAAATTCACCTTTAGCACAAGTATGTTAAAACATTATAAATATAATTTCACAACTTCAATAAAATACTTTTTTTTATTGGTACCCCATTTTGCTTATTTAAAGTACGAGTACCTACGCCTCAACGAGTCTAAATTCAACTCTCAAAAATGCGATTAAGTCATCATGGTAAAATTGTAGTCTCATTTTTTAGTTTTCAAATTAATAAACACATTACATTTCATTTGCATTATGTATGTATATACTTACTTAATCATCAATTTTATATTTCAATAAAAGTTAAGGAATTTTTAGGGTCCAGTCCCGAATAATTCAGAAATATAAACATTATTTGTAAGTGATCACTAACGGTATTGTCCACATTGCAGCTGTGGTTTATTACTTTCTACGTATCTTATCGGGCACTACTGAAGTGTAATTAGTCAAATTCTTCGGAAGTTATTACGCTCAAACTTGATCGTTATCTGGTCAAAAATGCCTTCTCAGGTTTCTCATACTAAACGATATATTCAGTATCGTCGTGTACGACAGCAAGTTCACGCATATTTTTAATATTTTTGTGCAAATAGTAGTGTTGTGTTTTAGTTAAGTTTGAGTTAAGACAGTATAAAATAAGTTGTAAATACATTAAAGATGGCTTTTTGGCGACCATTTGAATGTGATACCAACGAGAATACTAGCGGCAATCCAACGGACGATTTAGGTATGTAAATTCTTATTTAAAACTAGTTTAATAATTAGTTTTATAGGGATGCTCGGTCATAATATTCACCCTTAATCTACTTTTTTTAACAATTAAAAGTAAAAATATTTCTTTTAGATCCAACACCTATGCATTGGAAATTTGTAAATAAGGACTTACATATTCAAGCGCAAAGGATTATTTTAAATATATATTCCTGTTTAAGAGGCGAAAATAGTACCCTTTCGGAAAATAATATTGTGTTAAGGATATGTGAACTTACCAAACTTGCGCGTACGACAGTTTTACGTGTTATTGCAGCTGGGGATGTAAGTGATCATTCTGTTAAACGTCGAAGAGTTGGACAAAACCTTAAAAAGATTGATAAGGCCACTAAAGACGTTATTTGTCGCTATGTGTACGAATTTTATCAGGACAACAAAGTTCCAACGTTGGAAATGCTTCAAGACAAGTTGAAAATACATCCCGATTATGCACATAAATCCCTTGATACATTGAGGCGTGTTTTAATAGAATGCGGATTTAGTTATAAAAATTAGACAAGAGAATGGTAATTATGGAATCTACAAGGATTGTGATACAGAGGCAACATTATTTACGTAAAATAAAGGAATATCGAGATGACAATAGAGACATTGTGTATCTTGATGAAACGTGGTTTGACACCCATGATGTAGTTCAATATGGCTGGATGGATGATAGCAAAAAGTGCTGCTTGAGTACTCCTTGTTCGAGAGGAAAAAGAATTATAATTCTACATGCTGGAACTAAGAGCGGGTTTGTACCTAATGCCTTGTTATTATCGGCCAAAAACATTAAACCGTCATCAGCTGATTATCATGAGGATATGACGGCTGAACTTTTCGAAAAAATGGGCAACGGAACAGCTGTTACCGAATATTAAAACAAATTCCGTGATAGTAATGGACAATGCGTCATACCATTCTAGACTCTACACCAAAATTCCAAATACTAGCTCCAAGAAGGGAGATATCATAGAATTTATGGAGAACAAAGGCATGGCAACACCTAGTAAATGTACCAAAAAGGAATTGTTGCAATTAATTAAGCAACAAAATTTTCAAAAAGAATATGTAATAGATAAACTCTTTGAACGCCACGGGCATACGGTTTTAGGCTTCCTCCATATCATTGTGTTTTCAACCCAATTGAAATTATATGGGCCGATATAAAAAAGAAATTGCGGAAAATGAATAAATCTCCCCAATTAAGTGACGTTGTTGTCCAAAATATAAGAACAGTGATCAAAGAACTTAACAAAATTGACATTTGGAAAAATTGTGTAGCGCATGTTCAAGTAAAAGAAAAAGAATATCCTACTTTACCACCAATTGAACCGGTAGTTATAAACACAAACGACGACTCAAGTTCTGGACACACGGATAGTGATAGTGTTTAATTGTTTGAATATTTCTAGAAAGACTTCCACAACTTGTCAAAAATATGTTCTGTGTATCGAAGTAAATCTGATCTCTCCATTAATCTATAACCTAAGAGACAATTCGACTGAAAGACGAATTGGCCGATTTCATGTAAGTATCTTTCAAAAATAAGCTCTTTATTGATGCCTGATCTTTATCATTTTCTAAATCTGAAGATGAGTCTTTGCAAATCACTTCTTCCTCATTGGAAGAAGACTCGCTTATTACTTTCCTCTTTACCATCTCTATTTTTTTTATTAATTTGTAGTGTCTCTTTTTTCAATTTCTTTCCTGCAATTGCATTGCTTCCGGAGTATCGCTATTGTGTTTGTTCTTTTTACTGGACCTTTTTTAGTTAATTTTCTTTCTGGAGCTTTCGGGTATGGTTTTATTTGGGATGGAGATAAGTAATCTTTCTTTGATTGCTTTGAACTAGAGAGTCGGGCTATGACAATGCAAAGAGGCTGAATTGCGATGACGCCTCCACATTTTGATTTCAAAATTCACTTGATGAAGAAATATTGGGATCTTTTGATGTTGAAGGAACCATCCTGTCTGTTACACACGAGCATAGAAAATTTTCTTTACCAAAAGTATTTTCATCCAATGGCCAAATTCCAGTGCAACGAAATCCAGATTTTAGTTGGAACGAGTTGCAGATCGATCCTAAGTTTTCATACATATTGGTGCAATATCATAAATTGAAAATGCCTTCCCTGGATAAGAAAGCATCTAGTCATCTGCTCTTTAATTGAAACACCTTTTAAATGGTCCGAAAACAGTCCTATCTAATGGTTGCAATTTGTTAGATGTGTGAGGTGGAAGAGTTAGAATTGCAATTCCATTATCTTTGCAGTAATCAATAGCAGAAACAGATAAATGGGATTTATGATTATCCATTAATAAAATAACTTGGCGTTCTTTAGAACACCGAACAAGAGTTACAAAATGCTCTAAAACTTTAAAAAAATTATCACTGGTCATCCATCCAGATGAATGCACGAAACCGGTAGCACCATACTCTTCTGGAATATCATTTAACATTCTGTTTGTCAAATTTTTAACTTGGAAACACCCACACTGGTGGAAGTGCTGTTCCATTCGCTCCAATAATACCCACTTGAGTAATCAGTTCTCCTCTCTCACGCGGCACTACTTTATCAACTTGATACTGACCTTTAGTAGCAACTACTTTTTTAGTTTTTTAACTGTGGTTACGCTCATCTCGTCCCAATTTAATTAGTCTGATCCAGTGAAGCTGCGCCTTTTTAGAATCGCCTTTGACTTACCTTGAAATTTACTGACTGTAGATTTATTGGAACTGGAAATTCTCGCTAAGCTTGTATTCTCCGGAGTTCTTGAGGATAGTTCAGATTGTCGAGTTAAAAATCCTGTAAATCAGTTTATCCCAGCTGATTTGTTTACTTTCCAAGGTTCTGGAAATTTAACTTCGTTCAGACTATACTTCCAAATAATATAGACGCATATATGGCATATGCGTCTATATCTTAATACATACTTACGAGGTACAGGCTATCTACATCTACGTAGCAAGAAGAAAAATTATGACATATGACATTATGACGTTGCTTTTCTTGCCGCTTATTTTTGCATAAAAAGATTTTTTTTTGGAATTCTATTGTGCAATTAATTATTTAAAATGTATCGACAATTATCTAGATTTCGAAAAACTGTATCAGTTTTACTGAACGAAAAAACAGGCTTTATACGGATTCAACGTTTAAGTAGTTACCCAGAAGGTATTAAACTATATTATTTTTAGAGGTTATGTTATTAAATTATTCTATATCTTTTTTAGAGAATAAATTTAAAATTAAAGGCGATTTTGAAGGCAGACCGCTATATTTAGACGTACAAGCTACATCTCCACTGGTACTAATTCATAATTTAGCATGTCAAAACTTTTTATTTATATTTAAAAAATTTTTAGGATCCTAGAGTTTTAGATGTAATGCTTCCATATTTAACAAATTACTATGGTAATCCCCATTCTAGAACACATGCTTATGGTTGGGAAACTGAAGCAGCAGTTGAGGATGCACGGAAACATGTAGCAGATATTATTGGAGCAGATCCTAGAGAAATAATTTTTACTTCAGGAGCAACAGAGAGTAATAACATAGCTGTTAAAGGCGTAGCTCGATTTTACAAAGAAAAAAAGAACCATATCATAACAACACAAACAGTTAGTATTATATTAGATAACATTGTTTGCTCAGTTATGTGTAATTTAGAAAATACAGTAATCCCAGCTATCTGCAACATTCAGGCTTTTTTATAATTATTGGGGTAATAGCGCATAGTTAAAGGTCAAAACAGATTTTGTATACCATAACACACAATTAGGAACCTATCCCAATATTAATAGTTGTTCACAAGGAAAAAAAATCCTTATATGGATAAATCTTAACATCAATAGTAATATTTCTTGTTATTTATAACTTTGACTAATTTTGTGTTTATTTTAGGAGCACAAATGTGTTTTAGATTCTTGTAGGGCCTTAGAAAGTGAAGGATTTAAAATAACATACCTCCCAGTAAACCCAAATGGTATTATATCACTAGAAGAATTGGAACAGGCTATGACTCCACAAACATCACTAGTTTCCATAATGGCAGTGAACAATGAAATAGGTAAATAACTCATGAATCATTAATATTTTAATTAAATATACTTCTCTTCTAAACTACTATGACTCCAAAAATGTATTGTACTCATCCTCTAGATCTGTATACATCTCCTTTGCTGGTTCAAGATACTTACATTACTCAATGTACTATTATTGGCAGTACCAGTATACAATGTATCATTTTTTTTTTATTAAATATTTAACTATAGAAGTCGTTTTATATGTTTTTGTATACTTCTAATGATATTTAACAACTCCTTATGAATTATTTGTTTTAATTATTTTAATATCTAGGTGTAAAACAACCAATAGATGCTATAGGAGCACTGTGTAAGCAGAAGAAAATATTTTTCCATACAGATGCTGCACAAGCTGTTGGAAAAGTTCCCCTAGATGTAAACGCTATGAATATTGATCTCATGTCTATTAGTGGACATAAAATATATGGCCCTAAAGGTAAGTTGTAAAACAACATAGCTTGACTAAACACATTTTTGAGTACCTCTACAAATTTTTCCTGGTTATTTACTTTTCTCTATGTGGACGACTGTAGCGACAGACAGAGAAGAATGGAAAAGGTTTGGGGAGGCCTATGTCCAAAGATGGACAGAAGAAGGCTAATTAGATAGAGATAGATAAATGTACTTTTGGTTCAAGACGTAGCAGCTCAGAATCTAGCATGTCTGCATACTTTTGCCAATTTGCCTTTTTGACGTTAAATCTCCTTGTGAATGGAATAGCTTGTGGTATGACAATTAGAAAGATATTTATACCAATTGGTCTATGCTGATTTTTTGGTATGGGGCCATATACTGCTTTGGTACATCAGTCTTCGAGGTTATTACTTGAAAAACATACGTCCCGGTTATATCCTCTTTTCCAAACTTTGCTCTTAAAAGATGGTGGAAGTTTAGGATCATGGATTAATGTGAGGCTACTCATTTCGGCACATGCTTCTACTGTGTCTCTATTTGCGTCCGAATCTGCATAGCCCCAGAGTAAACTGTAACTGTTAAAGTCTCCCAGTACAAGCTGATTGGGTTGTGATTGGAAGTTAGTTGGGGGTGAAAATATAAAAGGCTGGTTCGGGGGCTTGTATACCTAGGTTATTGTGCATTTTCCGATCTCAGTGGTTATTATCTCTATACCGTGTACATTTGTTGTTCCCACAGATGAGACTATGGTTTGAGTTCTCATAAATACCGCGCTCCCATGCTAATTGTGTGGTATCTCCGCAATCAGTTTCATTCGGAGACTTTCAGTATCGCTGCAGTTAGATCTCTGTAGGTTTCCTGGATGCACAATAACTCACATTTTGTGCTCTTGCAGAAATCTGATAAGATGTCTTGTTTGGCTGTTCTCTTGCCCTAGATACCTTTTCCCTTAGTCCTAACTCTTTGGACTAAGTGTGTTGAAGTGAATTATTTTTATGACTTGTCGGCTATTGAAATAACTAATAATAAATAAATAAATAACTTTGTTTAAGGTATTGGTGCTATTTATATCCGGCGTCGTCCCCGTGTAAGGGTAGAAGCCCTGCAAAGTGGCGGTGGTCAAGAAAGAGGTATAAGGAGCGGCACAGTTCCAGCGCCACTAGTTGTAGGATTCGGTGAAGCGTGTAGATTAGCCAAAGAAGAAATGGCTTACGATCATGCTTACATTGAAAGATTAAGTAAACGATTAATAGACCAGATATCTAGTTCGTTAAGTCATGTAGTTAGGAATGGAGATGATGTAAATACTTATCCAGGTTGTGTAAATTTATCTTTCGCATATGTTGAAGGTGAGTTATAACATTAGTTCTATATATTTTAATGGTAATAGTCATATAGACTATTTCTAAAGTAATCTGAAGTATTTTTATGGGTGATTTGTCATTTAGTTTTAAAATTTGAAGTTCCCATAATCATATGTAAGAAGTTTTTTAAAGTTTAAAACTGAAACGAAAAAATTTATTATACAAAAATGCTTATTAACATTTTTTTCAAATTTGTGGAGTTGAACCATTTTCTCAGATTTTTTTAAACTAGAAATTTATTAATATTACTATGACGTCAACCATAAATTTTGATGTTTTAGGCGAATCTCTATTAATGGCCCTTAAAGACGTAGCCCTTTCTAGTGGATCAGCGTGTACTTCAGCGTCTCTGGAACCGTCTTACGTTCTACGTGCGATTGGAGCAGATGAAGACTTGGCACATAGTTCTATCAGATTCGGTATTGGCCGTTTCACCACAGAAGCCGAAGTAGATTACACTGCTAAAAAGTGCATACAACACGTAACTAGGTTAAGAGAAATGAGTCCTTTGTGGGAAATGATACAAGAGGGTGTGGACTTAAAATCGATTAAGTGGTCGCAACATTAATATTTATATGAACTATTGTACTCGAAATAATGAATTACTTTATGGCGTAAACTGTTATGGATTGTAATTATTGGATGTTGGAGTATTTAATTTGAAAATTTTGTATAATTAATATCTCGTATGTTTGACAATTTCGTATTTTTCTTGTTAGAATCATTGTAGCTCGAGATATTATTATAATCTTATTGAGAGCAAATTATGTGTCTTTTCATACATTTTTAATAGTGAAATGGTCACATAATTGAGTCCAATGGTAAAGTTCATAACAATGATAGATTATTCCGTCTAAATTGATTCTTTATGATAATACAAGTAATTTTATATTTCCAACAATGTTGATAGATGAAAAATAATATAAACCCTGATAATTAAGTGGGAAAATCTATACAAAAATGGCTTAAGATAGCTGTAATCAGTCGAGCACTAATTTTGTAGATATATCTCAGAAACATTGGAAAGTGAATATGCTCAGCAATTGTATGAATTTTATATTATTTATCAGACCAATCAGATTTAATCAGATTTAAAGACCTAAAGGCCTATCGGAACTACTCCTATATTATAAAGGTAAATTTTTCAGTGTCATGGGCTCATTCTGCTTTAAACATTAGATTGCGAGGGTTATTGTTGCATATCAGAGCAATAATAGAATGTAGATAGAACAGAAAAACTAAGAACTATCCTTCAATGAAAACGTATAAAACACATCAGAAAGATATAAATTGAGTTCAAGAACTACCAGGCCAAAAGCTAAATAGTTAAACAACAAACCAAAAAAGGAGCATTGCAGGCACAAGGTAACGTAGGGGATTACATCCACGGAGCATCAGCTTGGGTAGCGGTCCTTTTGGAACAACAAATACCGTTTATCTGGACGTCTCTTAGTGGCGTTCCTAGTTGGCTCGCAAGGGTCCGTTGAGTGCACTAAAGTTCATCCTAAGAAGGAAAAGACTTCTTCTTAACTTGGTTCTCCCGTTGTCTCTGGTGAGTCTGCCAGAGACTAGTAGGATAAGCCCCAAAAAACTGTTTATTCAAACCAATCTTTCCCAACGCATGGGCAGAGGTCCACGGAGAACTTCCACTCCTGACACGGAGATACTATCGTATCAGGAGTAGAACCAAAACAGAAGTAGAATGATTCCCTTTCCCGTCTCCGCACCATTCTTCAGGAAGCCTTTATGAGGTACCCTGAAGCCTCCGCCAAAATAGTTAAAAATTTTAACTCTCTTCTTAACAATCTTCCATCTCTCAATTCAAATTATCAGGATAAAGAGTCTGATAGTTCTTACGAATAGGATTACCCTTATCTTCCAACCATCGGAGAAGAGAACTGTGAGGATGACTCAGATACAGCAACCAAACCATTCATGTCTTCTTCGTGAGGGACAAGACTTCCTTATCCCAACGGGGTTCTCCCGTTGCCGCTTGGTAAGTTTGTCAGTGGCTAACAGGAAAAGGGAAAAAAAACACCCGCTCTTCTAGCGACATTCCTTCTCAAACATGAAGCATCGTCGCCCCAAACGACCTCTCATTCCTGAGCAGGAGACTTCATCTGCGGAAATGGCTTCACCATTTCCGTCAACCTCAACCTCGACCTCCCTTCCAAGGATGAGTTGTTGACTACCAGAGGAATTCCGTCTACTACCACCTCTCAGGGAGAACCATTCCGGATATGACTCCTATGCTTCCTCTACCAAGTCCGCCCCAAATCCAGACTGAGAACTCAAGCCTTCTGTTCTGCCAACATAATGCAAACTACTGCACACTCTTCTACTACCAAATCTTCTGCAACCAAACTTCTTCAGCCACTGCAACCAATGTTGCCTCTACATCTAGCCATACATCAGATTTTGCTTCTACTTCCGCAAATAGACGCAATCCCAACGAGGTACCTTCCACCTCCACAGCCTCCACCAAGCCAACCTCCAGCTCTCAACAAACGGGAGCAAAAATTCTATTATCGTATTATCAATATCACAGCGGCCTATGAAGAGGAAATTCTACCAAATCGTTAACACTCCAGAACTTCTTATGGTCAGCATGGTCAACTTGAAAATATCCCTCAAAGACTGAGTTGCGTACATTGAGACCTCTAAAACAATTGAGCTTAAGTAACTGACAAAAAGCTTCAGAGCAGCACGGGAGACCAAGCTATCTTTAACGAGGCTAAACATTCAAAAGCATCTAGAAACTCTAAAAGTTCCTGCCACAAGGCCATCTTCATACCAATTGATGCTCACAGACATCGATCCAGACAGCTGTTCGAGTCTGGATGAAGCAAAATTTCCTTTTAATTCCTTGCATAGAATACAATTAAAACGTGGGATAAACTCACCAAACTAGTACGCCTTTCTCATGACTCCGAGGAGCACTTCACCAGCGCCTTGTCGAACGACATCTGTTTGGACGGGCTGATAAGACGTTGTGAAGCTCCACACGCTCCCAACATTACCCGTCCGACTACAAAATACGGTTGCCGTCGTTGATGCCAAATCGGACACGGCATTTCGGAATGTCAAACAAGACAGTCTACATGTCCAAACTGCGGTAACATTTATGACAAGAGCACCAACTACCAACTGTCCTCTTCTCCGCCCGCTCGAACCAGTGCGACTAATGCGCGCGTCTGTATGCCCATAAGTCAGCAAGATTTCAGTGTATTTTGAATCGTCGCGTCGTGCGGAAAAGCATCAGCGGACCACTGCTAAAGGCAGCTTTACATCTAGGCTATGCAAGTCTCATGCTATGCAAGTCCGTCTTGCATGGCACATCTCTCCTAGCTTGACCTTTTTACATCAGATATTTCTGTGCAATTTTAGATCCCACTTTCATTGTTGCCAACAGAGAAAATATTTTGTCGATTTGAGGTTATTTTATTTTAAATAAAAAATATAATTAAGTACTAAAATAAATAATATAATAAATAAATATACACTATTTATGGTTATTAAAAGGGTGAAGGATGTCAACCAAAGAAAAGAAAACATTGTTATTGTTGAATATTGCTGTTGTAGGAACAATCATCCATAGTCAACGACTCACCCAGTCGTTTTTACATTAACTTTAGACATAGTATATCTATTTATCACCACTTAATAAACTTAATTTAAATCAAAACACAACAATACACATGTGGGTTAAGGGACGCTAAAGATAGAGATAAGGATATGTTTTATTCTGTAATCTATTATAAATTGTTATGTTGGCAACATGAATTTTAACGATAAATTGCAAGAAAATTGCATGAAAAATAGAACATGTTCTAATTTTTCGTCTAGCACAGGAATTGCATGGAAATAGCCCGTGGGCATGCGCAGTTCCATGATCTGTCTTGCATGGCTTTTGCCTAGCATGAAAATAGCATAATGTAAAACTGTCTTAACGCTATCGCCCGCACGTATGATGCTACGGCACAGAAATGGCCACTTGCCATGCCAGTTTGGTGGGCGCTTTCCCTTAGTCCCACAGGCAGAGACTTAAGTAATTTTCGCGAATTTTTTAAAACTTTTAATTTCCTGGACTTAGGAACAATGTTTATTAAACAATTCACATAACAGTCAAACCTTTCTCTCGAAAAGAGGGAAAAATTGGATAGACTTAATACTAAACAAAGACATAACAATAAACAATTCAATGGACTACGAAGAGAAAACTTTAAGCGGCCACCAGTACATAACCTTTAACACAAAAAACATCCACAAGACACCAGAGACACAGACACAAGATTCAACATCACAAATACAGACAAAATAAAACTAAATAAACATGGGACACAACTGGCACAACAACTCGTGCGGTACTTTGTTTATTAAGTAATACACAACCGCATACGCAAGCAGTAACATAAACACAGACATCAACACAAATCCCAATAACATAATTGCCGCCAATACCGACCAGCACTAAATCATACTCGGCCATTACGAAAAACACAGTACCGAAACTCAAATCAGATGAATAACCTTGAGCACACATGGAACAGCCATGTACCACACCTAAGAGAAAATATTAGTAGTTTAAAAAAAACGCCGTTTCGTAATTTATTATTAACTAGCGTTAGATCTAAGAATTAAAAAGATTGTGATAAAAAAGATCGTCGTATTTAGGTGATGTGTGAAGGTCAAAGAACACACTCCTGAACAAAATAACAATGTTCAACCTTTTATTATAACTTTTATTCAAGTTTTAACATTATATCTACCGTTCAGTTTTATAATGAATTCATCTCAAACATTTTTTTATTGGCTTAGTATTATTTGTAAAACATGAGTAAAAAATAATTAGAAACAATTTCAAATACAAAAAAACATATGCATTGGAGTCAGTGTAAATGTCTAGTTTTTCTACGCCTATTAGATCTTGAATATTATTTGGATCAATAGGTAGATTCACAAACAATAGTAAGTTCTAAAATTGTATATCCCTTTGTCTTAATTCCCCATTAAATCATTCCGAAACTACTGTGCATACATGGTGAAGTTTTTTTACTTAACTTTTATTGGTCTATTTTATTTATTTTCATGTAAATCTTTAGACACTATCCGGCACGTGCGGGAATGGGATTTCTACCCAATAAAGTGGGTAGAATATAATGGTAAAGTAGTATGAAGTAATACCACCCACTCGTACTAATTAAAACCTATGGCAGTGGAGCGAGGAGGAACCGGATGAGTGTATTCCACAATCTGCGCATGCGCAAGAATTCAGTTATAAACTTAAAGAACGAAATCATGATACATTTTGATATCCCATTCAAAATAGACAAATATATGTTATGATTCTTTTTCTCTTACAAAGTTTTATTTGTTTTGAAGTACAGATTGTTAGCTTAAGCTTATATGCTTGAACAGAATATATTAGAAAACCCTTTTTTTATTGGCATAAACAGCAGAGTTTCCTATCATATATTCGCATCATAAGCATCTAGTGTATGGTATTAATTTTTTGTATTGTTCTGATATGTTTATTGAGATTATTACTATCTACTAACTCACTGCTCTGCATCACATCTATTGTATTATAGTCTATTCTAAAACTACAACATTTTCGTTGCGTTCTTCTCTCCCTCTCCAATCTCTTTTTTTTTTTCTTTCATCATCATATTGTTTATATGATTCACGAGGTTCTAATCACTCACTAGGCTTTGCTGTATTCTGTACATAAAAATGAGACATAATATAAAAAATAACCAAAAGATATCTAAACTATATATGCGCCATGTAAATAAAATGTTTAAAAATTAGAAAATAATGAAGAGTTATATAGATGATATTTTGATCAGGAGTGTACATACGAGGAATACAATTAAAGAATAGAAAAAGCTTCTGTTGTATGATAATTA